AACGTTATTCCGCTCTGATAGCGGTTCCTTGCTTTCTGTTAAGCATTGTGTATTGTACTCTTGAAACCGTTAAGGTTTGTTGTATATATATTTATTGATTTGTTAATTAATAGTACCGTAGAAACAGTGACCGGCTTCTTGTTTGTTCTGGACCGGGATAGCCTATATCTACGCGTGACTTAATTTCAAGCGATATTGCGCTTACAATGATGAAGATACGCCTTGTTGACTGGTGGGTGCCAACTAGCACGAAACCTAGGTCGAGGAAGGCTTCCTGACAATGGCCTCCAGCCATCTAATAGATAATAAGACCTAGTAAGTTATAGAATGGGAAAAAGTCCTAAATTTTTGTAAAACAAATGAGAAGAGGAATGAGATCTCCTGATGAGAATGAAAAAAAGCGAGAATACCTCTGCATAACTTAGATACACTTTGAGCGATAGATTAACCGTATTTTTCTCTTGTAGGAGGAGATCACAGCATCCACGCTAGTTAACATTTCGCCCTGATTGATGATGTCAAAGCCAGATAGAATGAAGAAACCAAGAGAGGCATTCACTACTCTAAAATCAATGTGAAGAGCTACGGTAATCACAAGGAAAAATATACGAAATTTTAAAACTGATGTCAAGTCGATGACGCATTTGTTATTTGGATCAGGGATTTTGCACACGTGTCACCAGAAACATCCTCAATAGGCTGCAAACTTTCGTGAACACCTATCCCCTTAGCTTGATGATGATAGCAAAGATTAGATAGTCAGCCGGATTAGATAAGCAAAAAGGAACTCCAGCAAGGAAACAGCTAACGAACTTTATTATTATTCTATTGGATTCCAAGCGGGACACACAGCTTTAACAGTACATCTCCATTTCATCCTGTTCTCTGCCGTCCTCTTTAACTGTCTCCACGATTGCCCATAGACCTCTTGTGTCCTCTTCATACGGTCTCCTCCATGCTATCCTCGGACGCCCAATGCGTCATCTCTCATCCGGGTTCTGTTCGAAGGTATAGCTAACTTGAGATGTCACCCAATGGTCTCCTCAGCGTGTGTCCGATCCGTCTCCATTTTCCTCCTGATGGACTGACTCCAGAGGTATTTACGGTGGACACAGTTTACTGTCTGCATTAACTGAGGTACTAGGCAGCGTCTGGGAATCAGAGGAAGTCCCATCGGGTTGGTGTAAGTCACTGATCATCCCGATATACAAGAAGGGAGACAAGTCTTCCTGTGATAATCACAGAGGGATTAGCTTGACTAATATAGCATCTAAAATCCTAGGCTCAATAATACTGCGTAGACTAAGTGGTGCTCGGGAGACACAAACACGAGAAAACCAGGCAGGTTTTAGGCCAGGTAGAGGGTGTATTGATCATATCTTCACCCTTCGACAGATTCTAGAACATAGGCATTCCTACCGGCGTCCGACAATCACTATATTTCTTGACCTAAAGGCGGAATTCGATTCTGTCGACCGAGGTGTTCTCTGGCGATGCTTGGCTGTAAAGGGAATGCCAAGAAAATACATCGCACTGATTAAGGCACTGTACTCGTACTCATGCAGCCAGGTGAGGGCTTACGGCGAGTTGTCATCTGAAGTGGTGACGACTAGTGGTGTCCGTCAGGGAAACCCATTATCCCCATTCCTATTCAACTTCATCATAGACGTGCTAATGGACATAACCCTAACACACTTCAGCGACTCAGAGATTGACTTGCTACTAGGGAATAATCTCGTCGACTTAGAATATGCGGACGATATAGTCCTTCTAGGCGAGGACGCTGACAAAATGCAGAGTCTTCTGAACACCTTGAGCAACAATCTCCGTATGTTTGGCATGCGATTCGCCCCTGTAAAATGTAAGATGATGTTGCAGGATTGGACTTCACCCACTCCTAGATTAGAAATAGGAAGTGAAGTAGTAGAGCACGTTGACCACTTCACTTACTTGGGAAGTACCATCAGCCAGTGCCAACGGGTTGATCTCAGACGAAATCTCAGCACGAATACAGAGGGCTAGGCTCGCATATGTCAGTTTACGCCGTCTCTGGCGTAGATGCGATATCCGAATATCGACCAAAGGGCATGTGTACTTCTCAGAAGTCTGCTCCGTCCTCCTTTATGGCTGTGAGACCTGGCCATTGAGAGCAAAAGACATGAAAAGATTATCTGTGTTCGATCATAGGTGTCTGCGTTCTATCTCCTGTGTGATGTGGTATAATAAGGTGAGCAATATTGAGGTTAGGCGTCGAGTGCTAAGTAAGGAGGGGAAATCAATCGACGAGGCTGTGAAATTACATCGACTGAGATGGTTGGGACATGTGTTACGTATGCCTAGTCATCGCCTTCCTCCCCGGGCAATGTTAGCTGATATGGGATTGGTCAGGCTGGAAAAGAGCTAGTGGCGGTCAAACCAAAACATGGCATCAGTCAATGAAATCTACAACAGTTAGTCTAAGCCACGTAGGAAGATGTAGACTTCCTGACTGGTTGGGGTCCTCGGGACGGTAAAAACCAATGGTTGAAAACAATTGGTGACATGGCTCAAAATCGTTCTCAGTGGCTGGCGCAGATGCATCCACTCCTTGTGACTTATGATTTCCATTATTACTATTCCTTTTGTCTCACACCTATGTTTACTTTCTCTAATATGCATTTCTCCTACTTTCTTCTCTTCCTTTGTGTGCTACAAGGAGGGAGTGTAGCGACTTGAGCTGCCGCACATATGTGCAAAGTTCTATGTCGAAAACCGACCGACCATTTTCCTCCACATAGTTGTACAGCAACAGCTTCTTGGTTGGTTTATTCCCAGAGTTTCTTGTTGCTAATTACTTTTGGCCACCCGTTCTTCAGTGTGGAGCGAAGTGGATAGCTGTTTATAAAAGTCTACAGCAGCCTGTTGGAAGCGCTAACAACCTATTATCCAACAAATATGTACAGGGAAATGGAGGTGGATTGGACATACGCTGAAGAGACATCAATGTGGTATCACACACACACACACCAGGCTGTTGAGTGAAATCCGAATGAGTTGAAGCGAATCGGGTGTCTAAGCCTGAATGGTATGGAGATAACGTGTGAGAAGGGAATGAAAGCTTCCGCACGGTTGTGCAGCCAGTTGAAAGTGATTACAAAGAACCGAGTGGAATGGAGGTGGAGCAGTGAAGTCATATATAAATCCCACCAAGAACACAAAGAATTACTAATGTAATAATAATAATGACAATAATAATACCTTTAAACCACTCTACCCAATTGACCAACATTCAGTAAATTAGTTTCATCGTCTCTGTACCTCAATTCTACTTCAGTGAACACTATCCATTGGGGGGGGGGGTATTGGATGCGTAGGTGTGTATATTACATGTCTTATCCTCATCAGCTGATTTAAATCTGCTGCGAAGATATTAACTATAACTTATAAAACATTGCTTGATGAACTGGATTATGCGTCAGACAGTAGGAAACGAGAAGACAGGGATATCCTGGACCGAAGACCTGGATTTCAAATGTGGATGATTTATGTTTGATGTCACACAAAATCGAAGACTTACAAGCGAAAACCGACAAACTGCTCGAAGGAGCAGCCAGCGAAGACAGGAATCCAGGTGAACATAGACAACACGGAGGTTATGAAAACAACCAACCAACAACAACAACAGCAACATCCAGCGCCAATCACCATCAACGGGAGACATTCAAAAGAGGTTACTTCATTCACTTATCTAGGGAGCATTGTCTCAGCTACAGGAGGAACTGACGAAGATGTCAAATCCAGAATCGGGAAGGCGAGAAACACATTCATCAACCTGAAACCAATCTGGAAATCTTCGTCACTCAGCCTCCATCAACAACAAAATGATTCGGATTTTCAATACAAACGTCAAGTCAGTCAGTTCTTCTATACGGATCAGAAACTTGTCGGGTCACAAAGAATATTTCCAACAACCTGTTGCAGACCTTTATCAACAAATATCTTCGCTCTATACTGAAAATCAAATGGCCGGAAAGAATCACCAACAAGAAACTATCGGAACAAACAAAACAGGAACCAATCACCCAACATATATGCAGGAGAAAGTGGAGATGGATTGGACACTCGCTGAGGAGGCCACTAGGTGGCATCGCGCGTCAGGCCATAGCTCGAGTGGAACCCGGAAGGGAAGGGGCGAGTGGGACGCCCAAGGGTGAAATGGTGGAGATCGTATGAAGAGGAACTGAAACAGTATGGATTAACATGGATGGAGGTGAAAAGTACAGCAGAAGACAGAAGCAAGCGGAGACGTGTAGTTGAAGCCCTATGTTCCACTAGGAACCCAAGGGAACAATAATAATAATGAACTCAAGACAAATAAACTTTTACTGTCAGCGAACATTAAGAAAACTAAATAGGGACCACCATTTTCTAGACACTAGTTTCTTACAGTTATGCACATCCCCATCAACGTCCAGGCACGAACTAGGGTCAGTAACCTTCAGTATTCCTCTCGAAATGCTCTCATGTGGCCACACGTTTATAGCCTATGCCAGGTAGATCCTATTCAACGACTCCATGCGTAGATTCGGGTGTTCTTACAAAAGTTAAACGGTGAATGCGAACATATGGCGCTTACAAACAGACTAGTAAATCTGTTAGTCTATCTAGGGGAGTTGGAAAACCCTGATTCAAAAACTTGTGTACATGGACTCCAAAATCTATCCGAGCAGATCGAATATTGTCTGGACCTGTTCTACTTATCGGAAATGATGGGAACACAGCTCGTTGCATTGCTCTACTGCCTTGTGGATCAGACTTGAAGTCAAAGGACTCGGTATGATGGTCCCTTACGATAACTGCCTGCTTTGATCTGGGCGTCTATCCAGTATCCTAGCCCTCGCATAAACAAATGATGTTTTGTGTAACGTATCTTTTGATGCCCATAATGTACAAAGTGTTTGCTTTAATAAAACAAGTATGAAAGACAAGCAAGAAAATGAATCCACAAATAATAAACTTACGTTTTAACTCGCATACAAATATTCAGGAAGCCTTCTTCTTCAATCATAATATCAGCTTCGTCTAATACAAACATGACTATTTTAGTAGGATCAATACGATATTGTCCTGTACCACGAAACCAATTTGCAATTGTACCCGGTGTACCAATAACAATTTGATCCCTGACAAATCCATCAGAATTAATATTGGCTAAAATAGAAATTTTGACAATAGAAACAATGTGAATATATATATATATATCTTACAATAAGTGTAACTAGTAAAAGAAAATATATGTATCTTTTTCAGCTGATGTTTATTGTCTATAGGTATGGGGTGTATGCTTTGCGCCAAGTGCAAAGTACTGTTGCAATATTGGCAGGAGTCTGAAACTGAACTCCACTTTGCAAGTGAACTCCGCTTGAAGTTGTCGATAAGTTTAAGTAGTTAGGTAGTTGTGTGAGTGATGGTTGAAAACTCTATTCGTATAGTGGAAGCCACAGAAGTATACACCATCTTGGGCTATCTCTGGTGCCGTCAACCTGGCAGTCAAAGAGCGGGTTTACAATGTTTCGGTGCCAGCATTCTAGCTCAACGCTTGTGAAACTTGACTTCTCCGAGCTAAGGATGTGTGGTGACTCCACGTATTTGATAGTCACCATCTAAGTAGGATTGCTTGTGTCCTATGCAGTCATTGTGTAAGTAATCCTGAGGTCCAGTGGCGTGTGTTTGGACACGGTGGAGGTTACCATTCATTGAGCGTTGTCATATGGAAATCGACAGCTTCGATTTGTGCTAAAACTGTCATCCTAGGAGCTCTTGTACCGGTCTCTGTTCGCTAGTCCTGGATATTACATAGAAAAAGCCGAGAGGTGGTCAACTTATGAAGTGGCGTGGTAGGGTGAAGGGTATTTCATGTATAATCCCCATCCAGGCATCAATGAAAACAAAACACGTAGATCAGCGAAGAGTCTCAGTTGATTTGAAGTGTTCTGCACTTTCATATGAAATTGGGACTAGATCATTCGTCTGACTAATCAAATTCTCGAATTTGTACTTTGGTGTTCAATTCATTTACTTTTGATGATGCATCACAAAATTTTGGTCCGAGTGACAACAGTTGCATTTGAATCGGTGAAAGTGAGACGTCAGAAAAATTGAATACATATTTCTCGGGACAAGATGGGAAAGCTGTTTCCTTGGTGACTGATTTTAGGCTTTGTTTAAGTTTCATGACGATATTTTCCTTTCTCTTCTCAGAGACTGTATTGGCGTAGTGTTCGAATGACGCCCGTTCATCAACAGTTAAATCATAAAGAACGTGGGAGCTCATTGAGACGTTTTGTTCCAGTTCAGTTAATCTGGATCGAACGGCATCAATGTGATTCTGGGTGTGTCTTCTGAGCGTGCGTGAATTAGGAGATATATGGTTTCGTCTCAGATTTTTCCAGAATGCTTTCGGGTATTCATGCTTATCCAGACAGCTTTTCCAGAAGGAAATCTTCGCATTCGCTTCAGCAAGCTTGACGGACAAACGTAGAAACTTGTTCAGTTCCTTTACCGTCGAACGGTCTTTGCTCGTTTTCAAATCACGGAATATACACATTTGATCATAGGGAATAAAAAGACAGTTGCAGCGAAGAAAATTTTCTTTTCGACGAAGTCCTTCTGGAAAAGCTGTCTGGATAAGCATGAATACCCGAAAGCATTCTGGAAAAATCTGAGACGAAACCCTATATCTCCTAATTCACGCACGCTCAGAAGACACACCCAGAATCACATTGATGCCGTTCGATCCAGATTAACTGAACTGGAACAAAACGTCTCAATGAGCTCCCACGTTCTTTATGATTTAACTGTTGATGAACGGGCGTCATTCGAACACTACGCCAATACAGTCTCTGAGAAGAGAAAGGAAAATATCGTCATGAAACTTAAACAAAGCCTAAAATCAGTCACCAAGGAAACAGCTTTCCCATCTTGTCCCGAGAAATATGTATTCAATTTTTCTGACGTCTCACTTTCACCGATTCAAATGCAACTGTTGTCGCTCGGACCAAAATTTTGTGATGCATCATCAAAAGTAAATGAATTGAACACCAAAGTACAATTCGAGAATTTGATTAGTCAGACGAATGATCTAGTCCCTATTTCATATGAAATTACAGAAGACTTCAAATCAACTGTTTTGAATTACTGCTTCGACTACATCAACAAAAAACCTAGACTTCGCAATATGCTTTCAAAAGAACATCGAAAGCAACTCAAAGAATTGAAATCAAATGAAAACCTGATAATAACTCGACCAGACAAAGGTTCTGGAATTGTTCTGCTTAACAAGTCAGACTATGTGAAGAAACTCTCGTCAATTCTATCTGATGACAGCAAATTTCAAAAACAGACGACCCAAAAAGATCCAACTGAACAGACGGAGCTCCAGCTAACCAACTTATTGAAAAAAATGAAAGATGAATCGATTATCAATACAGAACTATATGAAAAACTTCGCCCATCTGGTTCTACATCGCCACGAATGTATGGACTACCCAAAGTGCACAAGAAGGATGTCCCACTCCGCCCAATATTAGATATGATCAATTCGCCATATCATCTAATCGCGAAATGGCTGGTAGAAATTCTTGGACCAGTGAAAGAAAAGTTGTCTAGACACAACCTCCGCGACACATTCGATTTCGTGGATTCAATTAAAAATGTCAACCTCGCAAATAAAAAGATGGTCTCCCTAGACGTCGTCTCTCTGTTCACCAATGTTCCTCTGACAGAAACTATATGCTTCCTGTGTGACTTCATCCAATGCAACAGCATAGATGTCGGCATACCGATGCATTATCTAAAGGAGCTGTTACTACGCTGCACCTTCAACGTCTACTTCAGATTCAACAATGAAATCTACAGGCAAACAGATGGCGTAGCAATGGGTTCTCCACTCGGACCACTCCTAGCCGACTGTTTTATGGCCAGCCTCGAAAACAACCCCTTATCATCAACTATCGACGGCCTTCATCTTTACAAGAGATACATTGATGATACTTTCATCATTTGTGATGAGAAGCTAGACCTTGAAAACCTACTCCAAATCTTCAACAACGCCCACCCAAACATCGACTTTACACTTGAAACCGAATCCGACGGAGTGTTCCACTTCCTGGACGTCCATCTGACAAGAAATGACAACGACTCTTTGAAAAGGTCCATATACAAAAAGCCTACATGGACTGGACAATTCATCAACTTTCAAAGCTTCGTGCCGCTAAGCAGAAAGAGGAACCTGATACACGCTCTTTCCTCGAGGATTCGGAAGATATGCAGCGAGGAAGTAATCGAAGAAGAACTGCGTAGTCTCCGAAAAACCCTGATGGAAAACGGTTTCCCGCCCAGGTTCATAGACAAGAATCTCAAACCTAAGAAGACTTCTGAACAAGTCCAATCCGTCCCAAAGAAAATACTTCTGCTTAATCTAGAATTCAAAGGTGATATCGAAGCGGAAATCCTTCGCAAACGCCTCTCCAAATCGCTGAGGAAAACATACTTCGCCGCAAGCCTTCGACTGACGTTTTCCTGCAAGAAACTGTTCAACCAGAACGCGAAAGACAAGCTGTCGCATTGGGCCACCTCAACATGCATATACCAGTTCACTTGCTCTTGTGGAGCTGAGTACATCGGCCGTACCATGCGCCAACTTGGAAAACGCGCTCGTGAACACTACCCAGCCTGGCTGGTAAAAGGAGAGCAAAAACGTGTATACAGTTCAGTGACAGAACATCTGGTCAACTCAGGACATTCAGCGCCTTTCGAAAAGTCCTTCAAAGTAATATACAAAATTCAATCAAACCTGTCAAAGGGAGTGAAATCAAGACATTTGGGCATAGCTGAGGCGTTAGCTATCCAAAAACTCAAACCCACCCTTTGTGTCCAAAAGAAATACATCCAACCCCTGTCCCTGCCATGGCCATCGTAAACAGGTAAATTTTTTAATAATGACCATCCGATCGCCTTTCTTATCTAAACTTCCTGTTTATTCATGTTATTTTAATTTTTCTTAATCCCTGTCTACACTACCATATTTTCATATCCACACTTCCTGTTTATTTTGTCATTTTATTATTTCTACATATTTAATCCCTGATTGCATAAAAAAGAAATTATGTAATAATATGAATAGTTTGATGATTGAGTTTTACTCAGGATGCACATAGGAACAAAGTAGAGAAGACGAAATTACGTAACAGTTCTAAATGAATCGAAGAATTATAGGCAATTTAAGAAACTGGCAAACAGAGAAAATTAGGTCATCGAAAATCAACAAAGTTGTTACCGTGATAGCAGAAGTGGTTGAGTAATTCTGTTCTGTATGCATAGCTCTGGTTTTTCTATGTGAATGGGCAGAGCTTCAGCGATACAAAGAAGGCGAAACCGTAATACCTTTGATAGGTTGTTCTTGACTCTGTAGATTACTTTGAAGGAGGCGTTTGTTGAAATTGAATGATCAGTGTTAACCAGGTGTTCAATTATCGCACTCCTCATTGCACCACTATTGCCTTTTCGCAACCATGCTGGATAGTGTTCTTGAATCTCCTTGGACAGGGTGCGCGTCGAACGATCGATGTATCTGGCTCCACAGCAGCAGGTGAACTGATATATGCACATAGAAGTGGTCAGATGCGGGGATCTTGTCCTTGAGGCTTCTGCAGATCAGTGGGCGACTGGAGAACACTATTCTTAGCGTTGTTGCAAAGAATGTTCTTCTCAGAGATGATATGATCCCTCTCTTGAGAATATCGCTTGCTAAATCTCCCTTGAAATCCAGGTTCATGTAGAGTTTCTTTCTTGGCGCAAGTAGAGTTTCGTTTCTCCGAATTCTTGGTTTGATATTTTTCTCGATGAATCTCATTGGGTATCCATTTTGGATGAAAATTTCTCTTAGAATATCCAATTATGTTTCCAGAGTGTCGGGACTGCAGATGCGTCGGATGCGGGTAGCAAATGATTTAATTAAGCTTCGCTTTTGTTGAATGGGTACCCAGCTATAGAAGCTTGTTAGTTGACTATTCCAAGTAGGTTTTCTATGGATTGATCTTCTTAGACTCCCATCAGTTCTTCTTGTTAGTTCCACATCAAGAAACGGAATTTTTGATTCGTTTTCCATTTCAAGAGTGAATTTTGTTGCTGGATGTCAACAGTTAAATGTC